GGGCAGCGCTGGCGTCTAGTGGCCAGCAGAGCTTCCCCATCACCCGGAACAAGTGGTCTGAGGTCCTGGCCTGCTTAGAGGAACAGGTGCTGGGGGTGGGCATTGGAGGTGGGCATTTGGGCTAGTCTGCCAGCCAGGGTCAAGGCAAACCAACAGGCCCTGTGTGAGAGGATATGAGAAAGAGTGAGGACCCAGGCTGACACCCAAATCTCTTTATCGGGAGGGTTGAGGGTGTTCCACCCTCACTTCACAGCCTGTTCATTGGCCCTGCTTCCTGAATCCTGTGGCTTCAGGCAGCTTGGACAGGCTGGAAAAGGGTTCCATGCAGTTGGCCTCAAACGTGTCGTCTCCCTGGAAGGCCAGCCCCACAGTGGCCAGGGCCTGGACTGGTGAAGCCACACTTGCTCAGTGTCTTGGCATCCTCCAGGAGCTGGTCATCCTTGTGTAGATGCTGCTCATCAAGTAGTTGCTCAAGGCTGCCCTCGATGATTTGTGAAGATAGTAGTCTTGTGGAGCTGAATCATCAGAAACATCTCCATCACGGCAGTTGCCTCTGCCCCTGGACGAGCCAGCATGGCTGCCCTCTTATTGTTTGTTTCTTGAAGTAGTGTTTTGTAGTTTTCTTAATAAAGGTTTTTGTTTCTCTAGTTAGATTTATTCTCAAATATTTTGTCTTGTGGTTGAGTACTATAAATAGTATTGTTTTTCTAGTTTCCTTTTCCAAAATCTCTTTGTTGCTTCATAGAAATCCAACTGATTTCTGTATGTTGATCTTATGCCTCTGCTAAATGGTCAACTAGGTCTAACAGTATTCTCGTTGAATCTTTGGGAATTTTGGTGTAACACTATCCTGTCATCTGCATATAGTGACAGTTTGACTACCTTGCCAGTTTGGATGCTGCTTATTTCCTTTCTTGCCTTATTGACTTAGTTAGAAATTCCAATACAGTATTGAATAGGAGTGGTGATAATGGCCATCCTGCTTGGTATCTGTTCACAAGAGAAATGCCTTTAGTCTCTCTCCATTGAGAATGATGTTGGCTTTTATTTTTATGTAATATACTTTTCACTATGTTAAGGGAATTACCTTCTGTTCTTATTTTGCTCAGTGTTTTAATCAGGAAAGGGTGTTACATTTTCTTGAAGGCCTTTCTTCATCAATTGATGAGATCATGTGGTTTTAATTCTTTTCTTTGTTGATATGATGAGTTAGTTTGTTAGTTGTTTTTCTTATGTTAAACCATCCCTGCATTCCATTATGAATCCCACTTGAATGTGATGGTTTGTTTTTGTTTTAATAGACTGTTGAATTCTACTGGCCAGGATTTTGGTAAGGATTTTTGAATCTATGTTCATGAGAGATATTGTCTATAGGCTTTTTTGGTTTGGGGTTTGGTTGTTTTTTGTTGTTGTTGTTTTTTTGTGATGTCTTTGTCTGGTTTGGGTATTAGGGTTATGCTTGCTTCATAGAACTACTCTAGAAGTGTTCCTTGTTTTTCTTATTTTTGGAATAAATTAAGTAGAATTGGTTCATCTCTGATTGTTTGGCAGAAATCACAGAAGAAGCAATCTAGGGCAGGATGGCTTTTTTGGTGTCTGTGTAGGGGTCGTTTTATGTCCTGCTCAATTTCTTCTTTTGTAATTGTCCCATTCAAATGTTCCACATCTGTCTTGTGTAATTTTGGGTGAAGTGTGGGTTTCTAGGAATTTGTCAATTCCTCTAGGTTTTAAAATTTATCAGAGTGTAGAATACCAGAAGAATGTCTATCTGTGCTTCATTGAGTATGCAAAGACTTTTAACTGTGTGGATCACAACAAGCTATGGCTGACTCTGAGAAGAATGGCAATCGCAGAACATTTCATCGTGCTAATGCGAAGCCTGTACTTGGACCAGGAGGCAGTCATCAGAACAGAGCAGGGAGACACTGGATGGTTCAAAATCAAGAAAGGGGTCTGTCAGGGATGTATTTTGTCTCCATACCTTTACAATCTGTATGCAGAACAGATCATCCGAGACTCTGGGCTGTATGAGGAAGAATGTGGTGTCAGGATTGGTGGAAGAATAGTCAACAGCCTGCGTTATGCAGATGACACAACCCTGCTCGCAGAAACTGAGGAGGACCTGAAGCGCTTGCTGCAGAAGGTCAAGGACTGCAGCCTTCAATACAGATTGAAGCTCAACATCAAGAAAACAAAGATTCTCACCACTGGGCCAATTGGCAGCATCAGTATGGATGGTGAAGAGATTGCGATAGTTAACAGTTTTAGTTTGCTTGCCTCCACAGTCAACACTCTTGGTTATAGCAGCCAGGAAATCAGGAGACAAATTGAGTGGAGTGGTGGGAATGAATGTGTTTGAGACAGCGAGGTTGACACAGGATAGAATGGCGTTTAGGGCTCTTGTACATAGGGTCACTATGACTTGATGGCACATAACAGTAACAACAACAACAACAGCTTTTCATAATCTTACTGATTTCATTTAAACTAATTCTGTTATGATGTCATCTCTTTAATTTTTTTATTCAAGATATTTGTGTCTTTTCTCTTGTTAAGTTTACCAGTGATTTGTCTATTTTATTAACATTTTAGAAGAACCAGTTCCTGGTTTTGTTAATGATTTTTATGATTTTCTCTGTTTTCTATCCTGTTGATTTTGGCCCTTATAATTTCCTTTCTTCTAGAGACTATGGGATTAGCTTGTTGTTTTTCTATTTGATGGAAGTGTTAAGTAGTTTCTTTTGCTCCTTTCTTCTTTTTATATATCTTTGCTTATTGAAAGGAACCGACCCCAAAGGACTGCCTTAGCTGTATCCTAGAGGTTTTAATATGATGTCTTTTCATTTGTTTTGAGGACTTTTTTTTCTTCATTTTTTTATTTCTTCTATAACCCTGTAGTACCCAAACAAGATGTTATTTCTCTTCCACGTGGGTTCATGGGTTCTTTTTTCCCCTTTATCCTCTTCTTGTTAATTTCTACCTTATGGTGTTGTGGTCTGAGAAGATAATTTATATTCGTTCAGTGTTTTGGTGTTTGTTTTTTTTTGTTTTTTAGTTTTTTGAGGCCTGCTTTGTGTCCTAACATGTGGTCAGTTCTGGAGAATGTACCTCCTATGTGCAGTTGAGAAGAAAATAAGTTGAGTTTTTGTGGATGGAGTACCTTGAACATATCTGTGAGGTTGAGTCAGCTGATGTAGTTTAACTCTTGTTTGTCTTTATTTTCTTTTCATTTGACCTGTCCTTGGATGATAGTGATTTGTTGAAGTTTCACACTACTATTGTGATGTCTTTATTTTTTTTCTAAAAAGTTTGTTAACTGTTGCTTTATGTATTTTGCAGGTCTATCATTAGGTGTATTGAGGTTAACCAAGCTTATGTCATTATATAGTGACCTATAGTAAGTTAAAGTTGCTTTTTACTTACTTAAACACAAGAAAGTGTTTTTTCAATAGTCACTTGACAGTAGGACAATGAGAGATAGCAGTATCCAATTCACTTTATTGCAGATCTGGGAGAGCAGAGAGAATACTCTAAAAACTGCCTCCCTAACTAAAGATGCTTATTGCCTTTGGACTTGGATTAGATATTCATCCATTTAACATATTACTGTCTCTGGTTTAAAGTTGCAGGATTCTTGCACTCAAAGAGATAATACACATACAATTTCTAATAAACAGTTTAAAGTTCAGATTACACATGACTGAAAAAAACACAAGTCCAAAATGATAAATGTTAGTTTAGGAAAGATATATTTCCCTTTCCTGTGATGAGATAGTTTAAGATAATCTACATAATTACAGAGAAGTTAAAACAAGGTATGAGAACAAAACACATGTAAATTAAATTATTTAACCAGATTTATAGGCTGGAATCCCAAGATGTTAGTTGTTAGAGCTACACCGTGTGTTTAAATACAACTCAACTCATTAATACTACCCTATCATTATGTGAAATTCTTAGTATTTGTGCAGCAGTTTTTGTTGTGTCTGTGTAAGTAGTTGCCAGTTCCTTATCTGTATGATACTATTGGAAGAGTTGCAGATTCAAAATATTCCCCCTAATTCAGTTTCCTAGAGGCAATCTTTCCTGCTGGTTGTTGGGAAAAAAAAGTGGTTCTGATCACCATTTCCTGTGGCATACTTCTCATCCAATTGTCCTTGCAGGGGCTGAGGTCCCTTACTTTCCTCAGCTGTGATAGACTCACTCCTCTGTCTTGTCCTATAGTTTGATGGAAAAGGGCAGTTTCTCCTATGAGTAGACAGTTTCCTGCTTCTGCTTATGTCCCCTCCTGTGGCTGCATAGGAGGGACTGTTTCCTCGCTGGGAAGACTGAGCCTCTGAAGAGCTGGCAACACCCCAGAAATGCAGCTCAGGACACTTTGCTCACCAAGTGTTGGAGCTAAGACATATCTCTGTTTTCTCCTGTGGCTGGATGGGAGAAGTTGATTCCTTCTGAGCTGACAAAGCCCCTTGGGAACTAGAAAAATGCCAACTAGAAAAATTGCTGCCTGAGCCCCGACCTCCCCAGATGTTTCAGTGGTCGAACATGTCCCACTTTCCTGTCTGCTAGCTGGCCCAGGAATCCCACAGGACACTCCCCTCTCTTTTGGCAGGAGCAGCTCAGACACCCATGGCCTGAAGGTCTCTTCCCTCTTTGCTCACTATTCATTGTTGGTGGTGATTGTGTGGATGGGGTGGGGTGGGGAGTACAAATAGGGTCTCTGGAGGTTGAGTAGCTTTATAGTGGCCCATTAGGCCCTTTTCTTGCTGCTTGCTGGGCTGGGCTGCCTACAGGGTGCTCTCCTCTTTGCTAGCTGGAACAGCTAAGATACTTCAGGTAGTCCTTCGGGCTCTCTCACTCTGCCTACACCTAATTTTTAAGTTGATCTTTTTTTATTTTAAAAATTTAAGGGATGTTCTTGAAAGTATCTTTCCATTTATGACAGGAGAAGACAAAGTCCTTATATGAAGCTAAAAATTAAAAATATATTGTTTTAACAGGAAAATAATGAAACTGGCTTAGAGAATGTCATAAACAAAGTGGCCATATTTAAGTAAGTGCTTACATTTTTTTTATCATTCTAAAAGATTGACCTTTGGTTTTGTATCTTGAATATTTTTTTGTTAAGTTCTTATATTCTTATCTGAACTTTTAAGAATGAGAATGGAGTACAGAGTACCTGGGAAAGAATAAGTAGCACATGGTAGACATTTGGTACATGTGTTTTGAAGAAGTATTTTTGGTAGTTGAAGAAGTATCTGTTTGTTATATTAGATGACTTACATAATAAGCAAATAAACGTTATTATTTCTCATTCATTCTAAGATATGACTTCATTATTATTTCATAAATTTTTGTTTCATATACTGGGTGACTGGAATGTAAAAGTTCTGATCAAGGAAGAAGGATTAGTAGTTGGAAAACATGGACTTGGTGACAGAAATGAGGCTAGGGGTAGAATTCCATACAATCAATTATTTATTCATTGAAAATACCTTTTATACGAAACACAAATAGTAACCATACACGTGGAATTCACCTGTTGTTCTACACAGGAATCAGATTGATTATATCTGTGGAAAAAGTCATTGGAGAAGCTCAATATCAGTCCTGAAAACTAGACCAGGTGGAGCTACTCATAGGCAGGTTCAAAGTGAAGCTAAAGAGTTAAATCCACAAGAACCAAAGTTTGACCTTGAGTGTATCCCACCTGAATTTAAAAACCATCTCAGGAAAAGGTTTGAGGCCTAGGACACTAATGAAGGAAAACCAGATGAGCTGTGGTAGTATCCTCCATAAAGCATGCAAAAGGTCATTATGAAGATAGAGGAAGAAGGAAAGATCAAGATGAATATCAGAAGAGACCCTGAAGAAAGTCTCTAGACTCTAGAGAGCCAAGAAGCCAAAGCAAAGTGAAGAAATAAAGAAGTTAAGGAGGTGAATAGAAAATTCCAAAGGGCAACTCAAGAAGAAAAAGCAAAGTATTATAAAGAAATGTGCAAGAAACTGGAGTTGGAAAATAAAAAGGGACAAACTCACTTGGCCTATCTTAAGCTAAAGGAACTGAAGAACAAATTCAAGCCTCAAGTTGATATGAGCAAAATAAAGCATCAAAAGAAGATGGAAGGAGTACACAGAATCATTATACGAAAAAGAATTGGCTGACACAGAAGAATTTCTTGAAACAGCATTATGATCAAGAGGCAATGAGGATGGATGAAGTTCAAGCTTCTTTGAAGGACTTGGCAAAAAAACAAGATTCCCCGAAATTGATGGCATACCAATTGACGTATTTCAACAAACAGATGCAGCCCTGGACATGCTCGCCAGATTGTGCCAAGAAATCTGGAGGACAACTACCTGGCCAACATTGGAAGAGATCCATATTTATTCCTATTTCACAAAAAAGTAATCTGATAGAGTTTGGAAATTATAAAAAAGTATATTATCACATGCAAGCAAGATCCTGCTGAAGATTATTTAAAAATGACTGGAACAGTACATCTACAGAGAACTGCCAGATGTGCAAGCCGGGTTTAGAAGAGGCCATGGCACTAGGAACATTCTCTCCAATGTTCGATTGATCTTAGCTAAAAGCAGAGAATACCAGAGAAATGTCTGTCTTTCATTGACCACAAAGACATTTGACTGTGTGGATCACAACAAATTGTGGCTAACCTTGAGAAGAATGGGAATCACAGAACACTTAATAGTGCTCATGTGAAATCTAGACTTGGACCAGGAAGCAGTGGTCAGAATAGAGCAAGGAAACACTGCATGGTTCAATATCAGAAAAGGTGTACATCAGGGATGCATCCTGTGTCCATACCTTTTTAATCTATATATGGAACAGGTCATTTGGGAGACTTTACTTCCTGAAGAAGAATGTGGCATCAGGGTTAGAGGACAGTGAGATTGGCTCAGGATAAGAGGGTTCAGAACTATTGTACATAGGTTCACTGTGAGTCACAGGCAACTTGATGGCATGTAACAGCAACAATAGAGTTTAAAAAGTATTTTAAGATTCTTTAATTCTTTGAGGTATATAAAATGGAAATACAATTTTAAGTGTTAATACTGTTGAAATTTGAAAAAATTATAATAGAAGTGAATTTCTAAGGAGTCCTGGTAATGTAGTGCATAAGATGTCAGGCTGCTAAACAAAAAGTTGGTAATTCACCAACTGTTCTACAGGAGAAAGATGAGCATCTCCTCACATTAAGATGTGCAGCCTTAGAAAGCTGATAGAGGATTGCTGTGTGTCACTTAACTCTGTGACAGTCCGTGGTGAATTTCTGCTTCCTATAATTGTATTTTGCATGTAAATTACTATTTTGATTTAAAAATACAATGTGCAGAACAAATACAGTTATTTTTTACTTGCTACTTTTTCTTTTTTTTTTTTTTTTTGCTTTTAACGCTACTTTTTCTCTTAATGTTCTCTAAATGTTTAGTATTTTTTCATCTACAGTTTGCCTATGACAGTATTCTATTTTCAACTACAGTATGCCGATGTTCTATCATCATATTTTACCTTAGTACAGTGAGTTTTACTTGAACAAGCAACCTTTAGGCATCAGAGGTTAAAAAATAACTTCAGAAATTTAAGCATTAAGATATTGGAACTAGTCTAGACTGTGTTAAATAAACTACCCCAGAGTTATTTACATTTAGTAATTATAAAATTCGTTTTTGTCAGGACTTTGGATTCATAATATTACTTTTTAGTCTTACTGTTAAAATGAAATTTACCATTTCAGTTTGAACAAACTGAATTGTTTCTTTTTTTCATTTTGTATTTTGAGCTTTAGATCAGTTTTTAGATTCTTTGTCTGTGTTGTGTACTTTAAAAATACTCTAGTTCATCTCTCTATTTTCCATTTACTTAGAAAACCAGGTGTATCAGGCCATGGAGTTTATGAACTGAAAGATGAATCATTGAAAGACTTCAATATGTACTTTTATCATTACTCTAAAACACAGCATAGTAAGGTAGGAAAAAATAACTTTTTTTCTTTTTTTGCTAAATCAATCTAAAATGCTTTGTGCTTTCTAACTTCATACAAAAATGCCATTCTAGTTCTCATGCAAGAAATTAAAATAGAATAAATGTTACTTAGTATACAGGCTATATTCATATTTAAGATATATGAATATATTGCTAATTACACCTAAAATACCTTTCATTATTGATTTTGAGGAAGAGAGATTTAATCAGTGTGTATGTACATTACTTAGTTTTTATGTTTGTTTCTTTTAACTCCTTTAAATTGTGTAAGAAATTGCCTTTTTTGTGTTTTCTGTATCTGTCTGATTGCATTTTGATATTTATATCCAAGTTAAATATTTTTGGCATGAATACTTCTTAGGCGATATAAATTTCTCAAAGTATCATATCTGTAGGCTCAGAGTGTCTGTCCTATTTAGATTAATACTTAGCTGAGGTTATGTCTGTCTTTGTTGCCATAAAATTAATAATTTTTTTTAATAATTTCTTTTTTGTGACACAAAGTACCCTGCACAGTTAATTCAAACAGTAAATATTGCTGTATAAAAAAGTGGAAACTAAATCTTAATAGAATGTTCATGTATGTTGCAGTAGCCTGCGGATAACTACTTTGTTTCTTGTATGTCGTATAATTTTGCATAGGTTGTTGGGTCTTTTCTGCCCATTTTAAAGCACTGTATTTGTTTCATGTTTGTCAAACAATATATTTACAGATAAACTTCTTTTGTAGGCTGAACATATGCAGAAGAAAAAGAGAAAACAAGAAAACAAAGATGAAGGTGAAAAATAAAATTCTGAATTAAGTGGATTTTTCTGTAGTGTTGTGGAAACAAAGTATATTTTTAAGTTTTTTTTTTAGTTGTTACTATTGCTGTCAAGTCAGAACTAACTCATAGCTAATCAATCCTACAGCTGGTTTCCAGAGGCTGCAAACTGCACAGGAGGGAATTGCCCATCTTTCTCCCATGAAGCAGTGGTGGATTTGAATGGCATGCCTTAAAGTTGTCGGTGCAGCTCCTTACCACTTAGGCCACCAGAGCTCCCTGTTAGTTTTTGAGAATGGGCAACTGAGTGCAAAGAGCAAAAGTGTAAAAAGCCTTTTGCTTCTTGTTTACATGCTAGATATACCCTTTATCAGTGATAACAGAATTTTCTAATTTTAGCATGTGAAATTTATTTGGGGTGATCGACATAGTGACTTGCACTTTGGGAGACATACATTGGTATTTTTGTTGTTATAATAATAGTAGAAATCATGTATTGTTCTATATGTTCTCTGTGGTTTTCACATTTGCAGTTTAGCATATGGGATAACAAAATTAAAAAGTGCTTATATTTATCTCTTCTCAATGCATTCTCTTCAACCAGCATTGCCACCACCACCACCTCCTGAATTCTGCCCTGCCTTCAGCAAAGTAGTTAACCTTCTCAACTGTGATATCATGATGTATATTCTCAGGACCATATTTGAGCGAGCAACAGACACAGATTCTAACTTGTGGACTGAAGGGATGCTCCAAATGGTACGTATACCTGAAATGTTTCCTTTACTTTAAATCATGGAGTTTTTAGGGATCTGGAGAAGGTCCTTGGTCTAGTTTTCTAGTATTCGTCATAACCACAGTTAGGATACCAGAGACCTAGGGGTCATTAAAAATAGCTTAGACAAACTCTAGAAGTCCTAATCCACAACATAAATAGTCTTCCAAACATCCTGGAAAATCTACAACCAGGAGAGGATAAAATAGATGAATGGGACCTTCTAAGAATCAAATCCCAATGCACTTCCAAAAACTTCTCCAACAGGGTAAAAAGGGAAGCCACACACTGGGGAAAAAGTATTTGTAAGATATGTCAGATAAGGGATTTATATCTAGAATTTATAAAATACTTGAGTACCACAACAAGATAAAGGTAAACACTCCAATTGAGAAATTGGGCACAGGATATGAACAGACACTTCATCAAAGAAGACAAATGTTCAAAATCCCTAGCTCTAAGAGAGATGTAAATCAAAACAACTATGAGGTATCATCTCACCCCAGTCAGAATAGCAATTTACCAGAACAGCAAACATCAGATGCTGGTGAGCTTGTAGAGAAACTGGAACCCTTATCTGTATGATTAGCGTAGACTTCACTTTGAGGAGGTAGCTCTTACTCAAATATTGATTGCTTTCCAACCTAAGATGCTTATCTTTTGGCTCTATAAATACTGGTAGCATAGCTTCCAGCATCACAGCAGTAGCAAACTAACAGACTACTGCAGTTTGAAACTGATTGAACGTGCAGTCAAGATTCATAACTAATTGATGACTAAACTGCCAAAAGAACTAGAAAACATGTTTTTGAGGAAGTGCAGCCAGAGTACTCCATAGAGGCAAGAACAATCTCACACACTTTGGGCATATTATCAAGAAGTACCAGTCTTTAGAATAAAGACATCATACTAAGAAAGATAAAGGGTCATCAAAAGTCCCTCAGCGAGATGGATTGACACAGTGACTGTAAGAATGGACTTAAACATAGCAGAGTTTCTGAGGATGGTGTAGGATATGGCAGGGCTTCTGTCTGTTGTTCATAGTGTTGCTATGAGTTGTAGACGACCTCACAGCACCTCAAAACAACAGAATGCAGAGGTTTAAAGCAAAAAAAAAATCAGTAGAGTTGGAAAATAAAGCCTTGAAGATAGAAATAATACTGGGGATCTTATAAGAAAATTTCATACAGTTAATGATTTGTTAATTGCAAATTTTAAAAAAACACACCACAAGTGACACTTATATATATGGACCTCTCAAATGAATGGATTGAAATATTATGGTACATTCACACAATGGAATACTATGTAGCACGCATGAGCAGTGATTTTGTAAATTATTAACCTAACATGAGAGGGACTGTAGAGCATTATGCTGAATAAACTAACTCAGTTCCACAAGGATAAGTATTGTATAAAACCATTATTGTAAAATGGGTATAAGGGATCCAAGAGGGGTGGGAGAGTGTGGAAGCAGAGGGATGAGGATGTACAGGGGGAGTGGGTGACTAATCATGGAGTTGTACAATTTGATGGGTGCGGGGGTGCAGGAAATTGAAAGAATCTGTTCTCTAAAACAATGTATTCGAATTTTGTAAATAAACTAGTGTAAAATTAAAATATATATACATACACACACACCGACTTCTCCTAGTAGAATACACAGAAATCAAATTGACTACATCTGTGGAAAGATAAGGTGGGAAATCTCAATTATTAGTAATCAAAACATGGCCAGTGACTGGTTATAAAGCAGACTGTCAGTTACTCCTATGCAAGTTAAAATTGAACCTGAAGATAATTTGTAACAATTCAAGAGGACCAAAATATGAACTTGAGTTTGTCCCAATGACATTTAAAAACCATCTCTAGACTACAGTTGATGCATTGAACACTAGTAACCAGATGAATTATAGGATGACATCAAGTATGTCATGAAAACAAAAGGTCGTTTAAAAGTCAAGGAAGAAAAGAAAAAGCAAAGCAGATGTAACAAGAGAATCTGCAACTTGTTCTTCATCATAGAGAAGCTAAAACAGAAGCCAGACATGAGAAAAGGAAAGCTGAACAGAAGATTTCAGAGGGCAGTTGATTGCGTCCAACCTAAGGGGCTTATCTTCTGCAGCTGTAAATACTCGTAGCTTAGCATCCAGAATCACAGCAGTAGCAAACTAAGACTACTACAGTCTGAAACTGATGAGACATGCATTCAAGGTTCATTAATAATTAATGGCTAGACTGTCAAAAGAACAAGAAAAGCTATTTTTTTAGGAAGAACCATTCCAAGAGGTAATATATGATCAAGAACATATGGTACTAAAAGAAGAAGAAAAAGGGGCTACCCTCCTCCATGTGATTTCTACAGCAGCAGTTCAAGCCACGGAGCACCAAGAGGTGGTGGCCGTGGAGGAACCCGATCTGATAGAGGGGGAGGCAGAAACAAATATTAAGATGAAAAAAACTTTGGAGCAAAATCTTTGTTCAGTGAAACAAACAAAAAGTGGAACCTATTCTGTCCTAACTACCCAAGGACTATTGAAAGGAAAAAATTGTGTTACTTTTTAAAATTTCCTGTTAAGTTATCCTCCATAATTTTTATGTTCTTGTGAGAAAGAGGAGTAAACATATTTAATTTTATTTGCTTTTATGACTTTGCTTTCAGTATACTAATGTTAAGTGTGTTGACTTGTGTACTAGTGTTGTAATTCTGTTTAACTGTTCCTGAAGGCCACTTTCTTCTGTTTGATTAATCCCAGTAGATGAGGCAAGCAATTCTAAGATTTTTCACAGACATCTAGGCATCTCAAATGGACAGACGATTCATTCTGCCTGTATAAACAAGCTAAATGGATAATATAGAAGGGTTGTTGAGTTTGCTACTCTTTAAGATTTCAGGGTGTCTTCAAACTGAAATCTCAATGTTCTCAGTGTGAAAAACCTGAGAACAGATGCCTTCATAAGGAAAGTGCTGTTTATTCAGTTAAAGCGAAAAAAGCACATGGATAATGCTGGCCATATATTGCCTTTCTGACATTTCCTTGGGAATCTGCAAGAACCTTCCCCCCAATAAGACCATTTAAGTGTGTGTTAAACAAGTACAGAATACTAAATAAAAATGTTTGGTCAAAACATGGAAGGCATTGACAAAAAATAACATTGAAAGAATTGATGAAATATCAATTGAATTGTTTCAGCAAACAGATAAAGCTGTTGGTGGGCTCACTAATCTTTGCCAAGAAATTTGGAAGACAGCTACTTGACCAATTGACTAGAAAAGATAAATATTTTTGTATTCCGAATAAGATCATCCAAGAGAATACTGAAATTATCAAACAATATTATTAATAGCATATACTAGTAAAATCTCACTGATAATTATTCAAAGGCTGAGCTAGTGCATACACAAGGAACAAGCATAAATTTAAGCTGGATTCAGAAGAGTTCATGGAACAGGGGACATCATTGCTGATGTTGGATGGACCGTGACTTAAAACAGAGAATACCACTCTTTCACCAAGGACCCGCCAACATGGGCCGCGTTCGCACCAAAACCGTGAAGAAAGCGACCTGGGTTATCATTGAGAAATACTACACGCACCTGGGTAATGACTTCCACACGAACAAGCGCGTGTGCGAGAAGATCGCCATTATTCCCAGCAAGAAACTCCGGTACAAGATAGCAGGCTATGTCACACATCTGATGAAGTGGATTCAGAGAAGGCCTGTGAGAGGCATCTCCATTAAGCTGCAGGAGGAGCAGAGAGAAAGGAGAGATAATTATGTACCAGAGGTTTCAGCCCTGGATCAGGAGATCATTGAAGTAGAACCTGACACTAAGGAAATGCTGAAATTCTTGGACTTTGGCAATCTGTCCAACCTCCAGGTCACTCAGCCCACAGTTGGGATGAATTTCAAAACACCACATGGAGCCATTTGAGTCTGTTTGCTGTGCTGTAGTATTTTCAATAAATTTGGGCACACCAGCCGTGCATTTGTCAAAAAAACAAACAAACAAACAAACAGAGAATACCACACAGATGCTTACTTGTGTTTTCTTAACTATGTCAGTCATTTAGCTCTGTGGATCATAATAAAATATGGGTAACATTGAGAAGAAGGGAGATTCCAGAACACGTAATTGCGCTCATTCACAATTCAAAAAATAACTCAAGACACAGTTGCCTGAACAAAGCAAAGAGATACTGAATTGTTTAAAATCAGGAATGTATGTGTCAGCATTGTATCTTTTCTCCATACTTAATTCAGTCGCTATGTGGAGTAAATAAGAAGCTGGGCTTATATGAAGAAAAACACAGAATCAGGCTTGGTGGAAACCTCATCCATAGCCTGTGTTAAGCAGATGACCCAATCATATTTGCAGAAAGTGAAGAAGACCTGAAGCACCCACTGAGGAGGATCAGAGACTACAGTCTTCAATATGGTTTATAGATCAACATCAAAAACCCCAAAATCTTCAGCATTAGACCAATGAGCAGCATTATGATAGATGCAGAAAAGATTGAAGTTGTCAGGGATTTCATTTTGTTTGCATCTATTATCAACATCCTAGGTGACAGCAGTCAAGAAATCAGGAGTTAAAAAAAAAAAAAAGAAATCAGGAGTTAAGTTACACTGGGTAAATCTGATTTCAATGACCTCTTTAAAGTGCTAAAGAATAAGGATGAAAAAAGTATGCCTGACCCAAGCCATTGTATTTTCAGTTGCTTCTTATGCATGTAAAAGTTAGTTATTAAGGAAGGTTGAATGAGAACTGATACCTTTGAATTGTATTATTGGTGATGAATAACCCATCAACTGCCAAGAGAACAAATCTGGCTAGGGAGTGCAATCAAGGTGTTCTGTATGGGCAAGGATGGTGAAACTTCATCTCACATACTTCGAGCATATTGTCAGGAGACGCTCATCTTTGAAAAATACCATCATGCTTGATAAAGTAGAGGATCAGCAAAAGAGGAGACACTCAAAGAGATGGATTGATGCAGTAATTGGAAAAGTGGCCTGAATCATAATTGAGGATGATACAGGATAGGCAGAAATTCAGTCTGTTGTTTATAAAGTCTCTGAATTGTCAGTTCCTAACAATTTTTCCCCCTACTACAGTTTACGATGTATTACCTTAAGAAGTATACTCTTTCAAAAATATTTTCTTTTTACCCCACCCCATCTCTCCAGGCATTTCATATTCTGGCATTAGGCTTACTTGAAGAGAAGCAACAGCTTCAGAAAGCCCCAGAAGAAGAAGTGACTTTTGACTTTTACCATAAGGCATCAAGTATGTTTGAGTATCAGTTTTAAAGCATTATAGCTTATTACTCATGTGTGATCAAAAGTTTTAATCTTTTTTTTAAATTGTCACTCTTTAAGATGTAGAAATCCTTGATATTATTTTTCTTTTCCTAGCATTTTAATTTTTAACTAATATGTTCCTCTAACCAAATAGATATTTCAAACCCTCTATCTTTTCTGGAGTTCCATTTTCTTAACTACATACTGTAATGGTTTCTTACTTTTATTCCTGTCTCAGTACTACAAAATATTTGCTGTAGCTTCAGCCTTAATATTCATGTATTCTATTTATAAACACTTTTATGATTCTGAATTAAATATAATTACAGAGACTCAATGAATGTTAATGTGTTGCTTTACATTGTTTTGTTTTTGGGTTTTTTTGGCCATATTTATTTATTTATTTTTCTACAGAGGTTTTGGATTTCCATTCATTCATTGCCGCAATTTTCTCCCTTCCCACCCCTCCCCACCAGCTCGCTTCCCCCTCCGGAGAAAAAAGAAGAAAAAAAGAAAAAAAATTCCTTCATTAGTATACAATTCCCACATCCCTTCCCCCAACCCTCGACCCCGAGTACACTTCTCTATGCAACCTTAATTCTGGATTCCTGTGCTAACCATAATAATCATATATCACTTCTAATCTGTTCTTTCCCTTATCTGTTTCAATACAATATACATAATTTATCCAGTTTTTTCTGTCATACCCCCACCCTGATGACAGACCCATTCTACAGCAGTGGCACCATGCAGTATCTGTCCCTTTGTGACAGAGATATTTCACTCAGCATAATGTCCTCCAGGGTCACCCACTTTGAATAATATTGCATGAGTTCCTTGTTTTTCAATGCTGCGTAGTATTCCATTGTGTGGATATACTACAGTTTCTCTATCCATTCATTTGTTGATGGGCCCTTAGGCTGCTTCCAACTCTTTGCTATTGTAAACAAAGCTGCAATAAACATGGGTGTGCATATATCTGCTTGGATGGCAGACATGGTCTCTCTGGGGTATATTCCCAGTAATGGGATTGCTGGGTCAAATGGTATCTCTATTTGCAATTTTTTGAGAAAGCGCCACACCACCTTCCACATGGTTGCACCAGCTTTACATTGTTTTCAATTCAGAAGAATAGCATAGGCTTACATTAGACTTTTTTTTTTAATGCACCTAATTAAGATAGGTTTTTCCTCCTGAGAGCATTCCAGGGACATTATGGTAACACTGATAATCAAGAAACAAACACCTCATTTTCTGTTTACAAGCTATATTCTTCAGATCTCTGAAGATCATGAATGTCCTATTACCGTATTTTTACTGCCTTATTTCATTGTACGAGTCAGTGAGCTAAGTGGAGGAAAATTAAGGGACACATCATGAAAGGTAGCTTTTCTGCAGGAGAAAGGTGTGGCAGTCTGCTTCTATAAAGATCACAGCCTTGGCAACACAATAGGGTCATTCTTTTCTGCCTTGTAAGGTCATTGTAAGTTGGAATTGACTTGGTGGCAATAGTTAAGAGATTTTTACATAATTATGGGGAAAGATGTTTACTTAAGATATATCATTCTTATGTTTTAAAAAAGGATTGGGGAGTTCAGCCACAAATGCTCAGAATATACAAATGCTTTTGGAAAAACTCAAAAGTGTTCCCCAATTAGAAGGCCAGAAGGACATGATAACATGGATACTCCAGGTAAACCAAAGAAGTAAACAGATTTTGTCTTGAGTTAAATACTTATGAATCCTCAGTTTATCTCTAAGGTGAAACTTTCATAGTCATAAATTCTAAAATAATTTACTACTGATTTTCATGATTCCTCATCTTCATCTATATTTTCTATTTCTTTTATTATTTGTACCATCAAATCAGATCTAACTGGTACAGGAGGAGATTGTCCCTCCGTCCCCACAGAGCATCTGGTGGATTTGAACTGTGCGCCTCTGGGATTGCAGTGCAGCTTCTTGCCACAAGGCCACCAGAGCTCCCCTTATATTTTCTATTTCTACAAGGGTTTTTTTCCCTTTATTTTTTTTAAATTTTATTGTGTACCGTCGAGTCAGATCTGACTGGCACAGAAGGAGATTGCCCCTCCTTCTCCAGCACAGCATCTGGTGGGTTTCAACCATGCACCTTTGGTTTTCTTTTTAAAATAAAGTAGGATTTACTTGTGTTAATTATTGTATATATTCACTCATGTTATTATTATATTTATTGATTGATTAATATATAGCATGATCATTTCTAGACTCGGAAAAGACTAATGTGGTGATACATTCTAGTTGCAGTACAGACAATAAATAAGAAAATATCATGGTAATAAAATATCTACATAAAGATTTACATACATAGATAATCAGAGATGGTCTATCAAAAGGTGGCATTTGATCCAAGACCTGAAAGACATGGAAGCAGTCTCATGGGAATCTGGAAAATCATTCACAAAAGAGGGGAACAGCTAGTTCAAAAGTTTAAGGTAGCCAGAAAGACCAATGTGACCGAAACATAAAGGAGACAGATATTTGTCTGTCTATATATAATAAATTAGAGAATCCTTTTCTATTATTAGAATACCAAAATTGACCAAAAAGTGTGAAAAGCAAACACAAATATCTGCCTTTATGAAGATGAAATATATTATTCAAGTACTATTTTTAGCATGACTCATAGCAACCCTATGAGTTGTACTCAACTCAAAGGCAATCAACAACACCTGTTAAATTTATGTTATGAAATATTCTTTACAGGGAATTTTTCCTGTGTGAAATTGAAGTTCTTTCATAATACATGTACATTTTATACATATACCATTCTTTTGGAGAAACTTTGGTGTTTGTTTTTAAAAAAAGTGAAATAGATCTATAGAAGCTACTGTGGAACGATCTCCAAAGATTTGATTAATTGAAAAACAGAGTACAAAACAGTGTATACTCAATAATGAGTTTTTAAATGAGAATATATGTTAAGTATTAACATATACAAATATAATTATATATTGATGGTTACATATTGCAGGGATTAGTGGATTTTCACAATTATCAATTATATGTAATTTTCAAAAGCAGTAGAATTTTATGTATGATGAAGCTCCATTGAAAATGCCATATTTTATTAATGTAAAAATATTTT